AGAAAGCTGAAAATCGAGATTTCAACAAGTTCTATGGTATTGAGGACTTAAGAAACCATTTTACAATAACAGCTGCTGATGCATGTGATTCTGATATTTTATTTAAACCAGTACTACCTCAAGCTGTTTTAAAAGCTGATCATTCAGCAAGTTCATTTATGATCTTAGCAAAATATGGAACTGGAAAAACATTATTAAGATGTGAATATTACAAATCCTTAAATTCAAATAACTATTTCAAAATCCTAATATTAAATAGACAAATAAATGAATATTTAGAAACATTTGTAAGTGGAACATCACCTAATGGAAAAGATTGTGAAAGTAGAGATTGTCTTATTCGATGGTCAAAACATGAATTTGCTCAACTCATGTTATCTGTATTAGTTACAGAATTTGTTGATCAATTTCAAAAAGAAGAAAACTTTTATGTTCCAAATATCTCGTTAGATGAAAAATTTCAAATAATAAGTATATTATGTTATTATTATAATGGACAAGGTGTTAGTAAACTGGAAAAATTAGTCAATTTTCTTCTTAATAAAACTGATAATTCAATGTACACCGCTACAAAAGCTGAAAGTCAAATTCTAGAGCGGAATGTCTATCGAGATAAACCAGTTCTTACACATCTGAAACAAGATTTAAATAAATTTAATGCTCTTAGAAAAGATTATGATAAACTTCATTTATTATTAGCAATTGTCGAAGGTGAAGGTTTTCAAAGTAAAGTTATTGAGAATACGATGTTTGACAATGTATTTAACCATTTAACATGCTTCACGGTGTTTGTAAAAACTAATCTGAAAAAATCGGTCGTTGTTGTTATTGATGGAATTGATGAAAATCGTTATTTTTTCAAAGACAATTTAGTTAATAAATTATCATTAGAATTATTTCTTCGCTCTTCAGTTTCTCAAGAGATTCTATCATCAGTTATGGCTCATAACTTTTATTTATCATTATTTTATCCAGAAATAGATGGTATTAATATTCAAGATGCTATTATTCGAAATGATAAGTTTCCTACATATAAAATAAAATGGAATACGGATTCAATAATTAATTATGCTGATTATCTTGTTCAAAAACTAAGTAAAAGAAGCTCATCAACTGTTCGTTGTAAATCGTTTACAAACTTTGAAAAACTTGTAAACTATCCTGATCAGAAAAATGCCGCTATTATTAATCGAATTGCAACACCAAGAGAACTTCATTATTTTATGATTGACCTTATATCGGAAATGAATAATTGTGCAAAACATGTTGCAAAGCCATTTATAGCAACTTTTGAAAACGTTGAAAATGCTTTTGAGAAATCGACCAAGCATATTCCTGACCGTCATAGATTGAAAGACTAAAACCAAATGATAAAAAGAAACATTATCATAATGCTATTCATGAATACGATTTTATTCAGTATAAACACAAAAAACATTACAACCTATAAACTAATTTATTTGAATACTTGCAAAACTATAGAATCAATAAAAAGACATTTTTATGAATTTTTTTATATGTAGCAAGATATTTATAACGGTTTTTCTTATCATTTAAAGTTCGACTGTCTTCTACGCTTAATGATTTTGAAGAAATTTCCATAATAGTTATCAATGAAGAAGAAGATAATATTAGAGATATAATAATAGATTAAAAAATCGCAAAAAATATTCGAGATATATCGTGTATAGTACGTTGTGAGTAAAAAGAAATTAAATATAAGACTGAAATAAATGATCATTATTTAAGTAATTGATATTGGACCGTCGTATGCGACAAAAGCTACTATCGCGTTGATAATGGATAGTAAACATTGTTAATATAAAAATTCTCCTTCTTTATTCAATTGGACATTTTCCATGATCTTCTTTGTATTTGTCATGTCCACTGGACATGATATACTCTCCTTCCTCTTTCATGCATCTACTTGCATTCATACTCCTCTCATTTTCCTTCTCTCTCACACACATACATCACGCGTGATGATATGTGCTTATGGTATGCTTCACTCCTTTTTGGTTTTGCATTCATATGCGTTCGTCTTCTTGTGGTTTTTTTCATTTATATTCATTCGATTCTTTTTTGTTCTTGGAATATATACGATGAGATATTCATTACAGATTGTTTCATTTTTTAAATCCCAATGACGCTGTTTTACTAAGTGTTAAGAGATATATGACACTTTGAAAGATATGATATTAATTGACACTTTATTATGCAAGTGAAAATAACATTAAACTACACTGAAATGATACTTGTGAGGGATTATAATCCTGATTATGATTATAGGATTTTAATGAATTTTAATTGCTAAAATTTTCAGTGTGTTATCATATACTCATTTGTATTGTCTATAATGTTTTTAGGCGTTTTTTTATTCTGAAACAGTATGAGAAATGTTAATCTTTTTCTCATATTTCTATTCATTAGAAATTAAAACAAATGATTATCTGATCTAACACATCTGGAGAAGAAAAACAGACAGAGAGAGAGAGAGATGATATCTATCTCTACATTGTTTAATATAAATGAGCAGAAGGAAAAATCGTATTCACTCACTTCTAGTTGACTTCTTTCACTTCATTTTTTCTCTATTTTCTGAAGGATATAAGCATAAATCGAAGGAGTTTTATTTATGAATGCTTGTTTATATATCAATAATGGTCACTTTTTTTTCTAGATTTAGTTGAATTTAAAAAGAATAATATGACTGAATACAATCGCAAATCCAGTTTCAATAATCGCAAAAAGAATTTTAATCAGAAAACGTAAGTTTATAAATAAAATCTTTTGTTTTCTATTAAATTTTCATATAGGGAAGGGAAGATATCATCTCTGAATTGCCTATCGAACGAAATCTTCTATGAAATATTTAATTATCTTGAAAGTTGTGAAGTTTATTATGCATTTAATAATCTTAATCATCGTTTTGAACAACTTCTTAAATCATTATCAATTATGTTGAATATTAATTCGGATAATCTACAATCAAAAAAATATATTCCAAACATATTAAAACGAATTTTAAATTTTAATCAAGGTCAAATAATTGTAATCTATTTGGATATGTCATTATCAATCAAAGAATATGTTTCATTTGATTCATCATTTAATCGATTACACTCACTTTATCTTCACAATTGTCAATCGGATATACTCATTCCTTTTCTTACCAATTTATCTTGTTTATCTTCTCTTTCGTCATTAACTCTTGATTCATCCGATCAATCAATAGATCTAACTGATATCTATCAAATAATATTAACTTTACCAACATTGAAAAAATATACATTATTAGCAAACGGTCCAACATTTTCGTCATTGTTACCAATTGCTAATATCAATCAAAAATTGAGTACAATTGAACAAATTGATATTAGAAATCATTGTAATTTCAATGACTGTCTATCGATTATGTCATATACACCTCAACTTTCTCATCTAATTTATATTCAACCTAATCCTATTGATTTTAATATTGAAATTAATTCTTCCATATCTCCATCAAAATTAACACATCTTTACATCCGTATATCAGATATGAAGTTCGATATATTTGAAAAATTTATTAGTAAAATTCCATCGAAATTAAAAGTTTTATCTTTTACTACTGAAAGTGAAGATATTAATTATCTTGATGCTAATCGATGGAAAAGATTTCTGTTGAAATATTATCCACAGTTAGAAGAATTTTATTTACGATATCATACAACACATTATGATAATTTTGATTCTGAAAAAAGAAATAAATTTCTTTCATTATTTTGGATTGAACGACGATGGATATTCGAAGTCAAAATGGGATATAAACATATTCTCTATTCAATTAAACCATACAAGTATATCGAAAACAGAAAATAGATTTTGTTTTTTTCTAAAATTATTTTTCTTCATTTTAGAAACAGATGGTATGATGTATTGCCAAATGGTATATTTCCTTCGTCGTCGATATTGAAGAAATCTTCTCATTTGACTCTTATGAATATTCATTCGAAGCAATGGCGAAATATTAAATATATTTTAACTTTAACACAAATTCATCATCTAGCTATTCCTGTAGAAAAAATTTTTATCGGAACATTAATGGTGATCGTAAATTCATTACCTGAACTTGTTTCGTTACAACTTCATTCTTTATCATTTGAGCAACCAGATGATATTGATGATGAAGATTTCTATGGATTTTTTAAAAAACAATCTACAAGTAAAATTAAAAAAGTATATGTCGAGAAAATCGATCATAAGGGAGAAATTGCGTTCCTATCGACACTTTGTCCTCTTATGGAATGTTGTCGAATAATATCATTCGAAAATAGTACCGATATGAAATCGTATTATTTATAAACAAAACTCATTAGAAATCGATTGATCGTACAATTAAATTTTTTTGTAATGTAAAGTTGTGTATTGTCGTCAATAAAAATTTATTCATTCTTTCTTATAGAAATTAATTTTATTTTTCATACATATTTAATATACATGGCTCCTATGATGAACCATGTCACCTCTGATAGAACGATATTTACTAAAACTAATCAATCTCTAGTCAACGAGCATTTATCACTGTAATCGCACAAGTATTGTGTGAATAAAAAAAGGGTTAACTTTCTCATTACATCTATCAAAAATAACAAAAAATGTTTATTTTTATAAATAAATTTCTACCGGTTAGTCGGAGTTTTAGTGGCCGGTTAATGGCGGGTTCGAGAGAAAAAAGATGCTATGAGTTTTATTCTTTATCATTCGATGGATGTGGGTGCATATTCTCTTTCATATATATAAATGGCCACATCCTCACCCTTAACATATACAAACGATATACTTTGTTTTAGAAAGTCACGTCAGAAAAGATTTCAAATATTTTACGTAAAAATTTTATTATGATAATGATGACGCAAGTCTTGACATCAGCATTGTCTTTATTGATATGGACTTTATTTTTATTTGTTATAGCATTTCTTATAAGTGATGTAAGTTATGTAAAATCTTCAAGTATATACGGTCTGATTGTTAGTTTTTATTGTTATAATATCCACCATGGGTGAGGATGTGGGTGTGGGTACAAAAATCATTAAGCACCCACACTTCGCGAAAGCGACAGACCAAATTGTCATTATGCAAAGTATTCCATCATATAAAACAAAAACTAGAAAACTCAATACATACTTGCTTATGCATCAGATAAAAAAAGTAACACGACCACATAGAACTGAAACAATGAATCGAAATCGGCAACAAGACAACTCCCTCAGGCACGAACTATTCAGATAAATATCCACAAAACTTACCAAAACGATAAGCATGCAGAGCAGACATCAAATATTACACACGGAGAAAAAAATGTCGATCGGTTATGAGAAGATACAGGTTTGATTTCTGTTCTGATTCTATGATCCTCGTTCTACAAGTTACTCGTACTTGTTCCAGCGTACATACTGTGGATGCATTCTTTCGGAATTAATATATAGTTGCCGTGAGTAGATGAAATAATTCGATAGTTTCTAATTCTTTATTTACCTTTCAAGTTGATACACCTACCAACACCCACTCTCAAGATGCAGTATGCATGAGACCTCACTAATTAATGAATACTTTTTATGTACTAAGTTTGAGCATAAATATAGCAACAAAGTGAAAAATAGTTCTTTTAATACTGATTTATTTGATTAATGATTTATAATACTTATCGCCACTGGTTTCTGACAAAACTTTCTGAAAATGATTTGTTCATCATGCTTTGTTTGAGTATATCGATAGTTGAAGATGGATTTGATCTCATATCTTCTACGAATGATTTTGACGTACATAGTGCGCCAAGTCCTTCGATGGGATTCAACAATGTTTTGAGATTTATCTCCTGTGTGTCACTCATATTATAGTAACAATGTAGTGCCAAACATATGGCACGCACTTTTATACCTTCATCGTCAGCTGGAATGCTTTCAACTAATAATGATGAAAGTTTGCGTACTTCGTCTAATTCTACTATTTTGCCATCGACGTCAGCTAAGATATAACGAAAGAAATCGAATGCTAACTTCACATTGTCTTCTGAAGGAAAGCAACCAACAACCATTAAAATTGTATAAACCATACAACCGCCACAACCTTTGGCGAATGAAGAAGCAACGGACTCGCCTGTGACTCCTTTTGACGATGCTAATGTTAACAATAAAGAGAGCCAGGTTGAAACTACTTTGGGTTTACATAGATCCTGACCGTTTTCGCCAAAGATACGAATCGAAGCCTGGTAACCAATTTGCAACTTTGGCAGAATGGTAACAGCATCGACTTCTAGACTTTTCAATGCTTTGATCAAACCATTCAATTTTGCAATCACATCCTCATCGCATGACTTCCAATCACTCCAATTCAATTCATATTTCGACGTGTCGATCGAGAACTGAGATTCAGCCATTTGAATACAAATGTTTTGCTTGTTCCTAAAACAATCAACCTTTTAATACAGTCTCGCCTAGCTTGAATTCTTTTACGTTTGTTGCAATATGGATCACTTCTAGCACAATCTATTGATTTAACGATAATAAGTGTTTTGTTTTCAGAATGTGGCATTTTTTTCATAGCTTACACTTATATCTTACTTATCGTGATGATTTTTTTCCTATATGAAAAAATATCGGACGACATATTGCATTTCCGATTCAATTCTCTATAGTATTGTTTTTTGACCTCAAATATATACCACCGATACATCGACTGTTAGTCTATTTATTCTGAAAGTTTCAACTATAAAGAACAACAATTTGTTGAGAAAACGTGCATGTGTCTCTTATGTACTATCGTATGACTGAAACGAAACTTGTTGCAATGCTTGTCCTATTATCATTGTTGATTCAGTTTTAATTCTAAGATAAGGGTTAACGGTCTTTAGGATTTCTTACACGTTAGAGTATATCTGGCATCTATAATGACCATTAAAATATTGAAATTGAACCACTAATGATAGCAGGACAAGCATTGCAACAAGTTTCGTTTCAGTCATACGAGAGTACATAGGAGACATATGCACGTTTTCTCAACAAATTTTTGTTCTTTATAGTTGAAACTTTCAGAATAGATAGACTAACAGTCGATGTATCTGTGGTATATATTTGGGATCAAAAGACAACACTATGGAGAATTAATTGAGAAAAATACATATACGAATGATTTTTGGTTATCGCAGTATCTGTACTTTTTCTCAAAATTATTTTAACGATCCTATCAATATCATGAAGCATTTTAGTACGAAGCGTTCATTTTCTATAGTTGTCCTAATATAGAACGATATAAAAATGACCAGATATGAATGAGTCACTAACGAAGAAAAAGTCTATATAAATCTTTTTAAATGAGTGGAATAAACTATGTTATCATATTTCGATACCTAAATGATTCAACTTGAAAATTGAATATCTCTGTTCAGATACGTCATGGATAGTTCATATTTAAAATTTGTTTGTTTCTTAGTGAAAGCTGTCATCTAATTTTAATAAGGCCATTCAATTCGCTCAGCAGTATATACGCTTCCGTTGTAAGTGCAGAAATCTTTATTTGACTACGTTTCAAAATCTATCAAACTTTTAGTCAAGATGCAAATTTAATAAAATAAAAACTATAGTTTCATAGAGTAATCAGTTCTCTATAACTATATCCTGATAACAAACTCCCGAGATTTTGCAGAAACACAGCAAACTAAACAAAACTATCAAAAATAACATAATTATGTTGTAACTTACCCGTTCTCTTCAGGAATTCTGCTTCTTCTGAGTGAAAACGACGCCCTCAAATACACGAATATCTTTTTATACAGATATATTGGTTCTTAACAACGTCAATAAAACTCGCTGTCGTATATTTCTCAGTTATCAGTAAAGAGTGTTTGAATGTGTATCATATCATCATCAAATATGACGAAAAACAAAAGAAAAATCATCGTGGGTGTGGGTGAAAGCATTTTTATTGTCTTATCTAAACCCACACCCTTATCCACCCATTCTCTTGCCGCTCGTATACTTATCGACCACACATCCACTTTTTTGCTATTATCGTTGGCGTTCGGAACACCTATGAGTAAATCTGAGCAACGTGAAGAAAATATCTTCAGGACTAATATCGTCAAGCAAATATTTTGTCTTCTTTTGCTGTCTCGCACTAGATGAAATTTGTCGCGAACTGTTTTTGAGCTTTTATTGTCATCTTTCGATTGTGATTAGGCGCCATTGAGAGTGAAAAAATCTTAAGAGCGTTCGTTTTCATGATTCTCTATATTCAAATTATGGTTTAAATAATGTTGTAAAAGAAGAAATCTTCCTATTTCAGAATTAGGATGCGCTACACAAATTATTTTGGCCTTAGATTATTCATTATAAACTTTTTTTATTTTATGATGCAGTGTAATTACAAAATCGAAAAGTTGGATATTTGGAAGACTAATAAAACCATCTTTACGACATACTTTAATTTCTTATCGATTAGGATTATAAATAATACTTTTAAAAATAAAAAAAATGTCTTATTTTACAGCCTAATCTTGATCACATATTTGAAGCTAAAAATTATCAGTAGGGACTGTAGTAAACGTTTTGTAGCCTTTCTAAGATTTATGTACAGCTAGCAAATGAAGCCAAACGATTGAAATAGCTGTGGTACTGTCTTCATTCGTTACCTAAGCTGAATGAACAAACTTCTCAAATGACTTGACATTTAGTAAGGTTTTCACTTTAATCTATAGTCTATTTTCTGATTTGTATAGCGTTTTAATTTAACAAATATTTTACTAACCACTTCTAAACATTGGAAGTCGAGAAAAGTGTCAATTAGTTACGACGAAATTATAAAAAACACTATAACAGCCAAGAACAAAAACAAAATATTGCTATGGTTGAATTAATGCCTAATTTTCTGTAATAATTTTGTGAATAATAGAGCCATAAATAGAAGAAATTACTCAAAGTCAAAATCTTTATACACAAAAAAGACTTGACTTTTCATTCTTTTTTTGTTCGGTCTAATACTTTTCAAAATTTATTGCCACATCAAAAAAATCGACTCGGACTCGTCATTGCAAGTGTGACATCATTTATAGATAAGATTATCAATCTTTTAAAAACTTTAAAAGAATTCTAGAGAACTCAGCTTTCTGGTGCCACTACTATTGTCATGTTTGTAAAAAACAGTTAATTTGAAAAGAATATTTTAACATAAGAAGTCTTATGTAAATTCATTGAAACTAAAAGAATTCTTATTGATACGTCATTAAAAGAATATACTAAATAGTTATGTATGGAATAAAAATGGTTGTTGTAGTTTTGGTTCGATAATCCATGATACTAATGACACATCTGAAGTTACCTGGGCTACAACATAACATTTATAATATATCGTTATGTTCATGTAGTCGATTGTTAACTTATTTTTTGTAACATCGATATATATGTGCCACGACGAATAGAAGAGTCTTTTTACATACGGTCTGAAGTACTATAAATATATTCGAGTAAATTTGTAGTTTAACGAATTTCTAATCTATATAAAAAAATATTTGAAAACTCTTGTTGCATTATCATCTATCACCACCATCAAGTTCGTGTATAATTGAGAAGTTATATATATTCGAATACATAATGTCACTGTTTATTTTTTAACTGTGTTAAGGCAGTCATATAGAACGAATAATAATTTTTCAGTCAGTGAGTTTTTTCTCTACAGAAAAATCTTGACAGTGTGGATAGTTATTATACTTATCTCTCATTCGAACCCACACCCGGCCACCCTCAAGAACTATCTTGAGAGGAGAAATAATATCTGAGTGTGAAGATGTGCGTGGATGTCTTTCTTTAAACACACCCACATCCGAAGATACTTATAATACTCACATCATCTATATTTTTCAGTGAATTTATATTCATAATAAACGTCATTTAAATAATGCACGATTTCTCTCATACTCGTAGAACTTTACTTTTATTATGTGTACTACTGCATGATTATTCATATTATATAGACAAAAAAAAAAGAAAAGTTATTTCAATGTTACTAGATCTGAGATTCAACTTACTCTTTTCTCCCTTATCAACACGATATATACAGCATTTTTGTTTTCAGTTATTTTATTAAACAAAAATCTAAGGCACGATGGAGAGGAAGAGAAAAAACATTTGTCTAATGACTTGTATTTCTCCTTCAGTACTTATGTTCACGAGAAAGTATACCTCAGCATTGATGTATTGCAGTCATTATATCGATGAAGATAAAAATACGGCAAGAAAAACAATAACACGAAATATGTTGGTTGTTTCGTTTTTGTTGATTTCTGTCTATTTTCTTCTTAAAAACAGTATTTTCAATTGAAATTAAGCCTACCTCACACCCTTATTTTGATGATAAAATAAGAAAAGTAAGTATTATAGTTGATGAAAATAAATTTTTTTATTTCGTTTAGATTAATCTTATCATCAGAATATTTGTCTCATATTTTATTCCAATCTAAAGTTAAAAACCGTAAAGTATTCATATTAAATTTCCACGAGAAGAACTTAATTATCATTTGTGATCAATTATTCATCAACTGAAATCTTTTATTTTGATGAAATATGTTATTTCATAATTGATTCATTTTATTCAATATATCGTTCATATTTTTGAATTCGATGATTACCAGAGTCAGCAACATATAGATTTCCTTCAACATCAAATGACACATCTGTGGGATAATATAACTGATTTGATTCTTCTCCTTGACCATTTCCACCAACAACAATTGAGCCTTTTGTATCTCCCTCGAACCATTGCATTACTCGATCATTAGAAGAGTCTGCAATAACTATTTGACCCAAATTATCAACAACCAGTCCACTAGGATAATCTAATTGGCCGAGAGCATTTCCTTGTCCATTTCCACCAGCAACAATAATTCCTTCTTTTGCATCCTTTTTCCATTTCATTGCGCGATGATTCATAGCATCGGCTACATAAACAGAATAATCTTCATCGACGAAGAGATCGTAAGGAATACTGAGTTGATTTCGAAGATCTCCTCTGCCATTGCCACCAGCAACTAGTGTTCCATCTGTGTCTCCTTCTTTCCATGGTCTCACTTCAGACTTCATCCAATCAGAAACATAAATAGACCCACCTTTGTCTATTGCCACACCGTTACATGCAATATTAGAAATGAGAATTTGTGGATTTGTTTGACTTTCAAGAAACCATCGCATTACTCTATTGTTTCGATAATCACATATGATTATCGCATTCTTCTCTTTGTCAACAACTACATCTATGAAAAATAATAATAATTTTGAGATTTTTAATTTAAATGAAAATAAGTAAGTTTAATGTAGTTATATGTTGAAAATCTATTTTAATTTTAATGGAAATTTTCGATCTTCATTCGATCATTATCAACCTTTAACACGACCTGATGATACAAACACAAAAAAGAATTTTACACGAAAAAAATATAAGTATAAATTATTATCTTATATGTAGTCATCATTTAAACATAAACATCATAATCATAACCATTGAATTGCTGTCAATTACAATTCACAACTAATAAATAAGTACTCAAATTTGTTTAATACTACTATGTATCATTAATGTATGAAAAATAATAATAATCTTGAGATTTTAATATTTCGTGTAAAATCTTTTTTTGTGTTTGTATCATCAGGTCGTGTTAAAGGTTGATAATGATCGAATGAAGATCGAAAATTTCCATTAAAATTAAAATAGATTTTCAACATATAACTACATTAAACTTACTTATTTTCATTTAAACAACTACATCGTTTGGCATATCAAGCTGATTCAGTTTATCTCCTTGTCCGTTGCCGCCTGCAATGATTTGACCACTGTTTGCATTATATTTCCATTCAACAATACGATGATTTCTATAGTCAACAATCAGCATGGCTTTGTTATCATCGATATAAGTCCCACCAGGATGGGCGAGTTGACTTAATTGATCTCCTTCTCCATTTCCTCCCGCAACAGTAATTCCATGTTGTTTCCATTTAGAGTTGTTCTTATCTAAAACAAATCAAATTTGTAGTTGCATCTATCACTTCTCAACTCACTCACTTTTTAATGGTGGACAGATATTTTGTTTACTCATTGTCGTTGGATAACAAAGAGGTTGTTCATGACATCGAGGATGTTCAACACAGACCATGTTGGATTGAGTACATCTACTGGTAGAAGCGTTACACGATTCGAGATGAGAACATGTTGGCCACAGAAAGCCACAAATGCCTGCATCATCATTAGCACCTACCCTGTGGAAACAACCACAGGCACTATTTGTCGAGCATCGATCATATTGAGCAACGTTCTTACATATTTGAGATTTTACTTGTCCTATGAAAATCATACACTAATACATGCACATATATAGAATAGAATAAAAATCAAACCTGTTATGCTAAAATAAGAAAACGATCAATGTTAGCAAAAATTAACGATAGAAATCAATAGTTATTTACCTGAGAAGAATGAAAACGACGTAGCAGTAGATATTGATTGAAGCCATAGTTGGTTTTAAAGTGAAATAATATCATCAAAAACTGTGGTTTTTATTTCTGATATACAGATGGTATCTTAAGTGAGCTTAATTGAAATATAACAGATGGATCTATTCACATATCGATAAATGGAAATTTGATATTGATTATATTGCTTCTAATCGTTCTAATCTCCCATATGAAAAATACAATAAAAAAAAGTAATCAGAAAACGGATAAATCATCCTCATCAACTATAATATTTTTGTATCTTTAGTCGTATAGAAATCATGTTTGTTATCAATAGTTCTTTAGAAGATTGAAAAGAATTATTGTTTTAAAATATCATTTTAGATCTAACTATTTGACTTGTATTGAATAAGATTTATTCAATACAGCATTAACCCTTAGAAGGATAGAAAATTCAAAAAAAAACGTTAATTCTTAATGAAAACAGTTATTTCTGATTCTATGTGATATCAATAATACCCTTGCCAGGGCCTGGATGTTGTTAATATCTCATCCACACCCACCCACACCCTGGTTTTCTCATGTAAGTTATAAACCACCTCATCGTAATCAAGTACAAGATGAATTAAAACGATTAATTCAAGTATTATATAATCATAGATCTTTCTATCAACACGATAGCTTTTATTTATCTCAAACATAATTGTAATTGCTTGAATATTATTTATTTTCCGGATAATAAAGTATACCGATATAGATGTAATTTTTTGAAAAAAATCATCATTAATATTTGCACGAGATTAATAAATCAAGGTTTCGTATAGAATACAGTATTGACGAAGTTCTTATTTATCTCACAGTTTCTACTGCGGCATTTATTCTTTTCATTATGGATGTTCGAACTGGATCTGTAAATTTAAATAAACTCATCATAATAAAAATCAACGAGATATTGACAAATATATATGCAATACGAAAATGATACTTTGGTGGTGAAGTAAAAAATCCCATAATAACAAAACTCGCGTAAGGTATACCAAGTCCTATTAAGAATGATACGAGTATAACTATTCGATATACCATTTTTAATTCTCTTTGAGCACGAATTAAAGTATTGACCGGTGTCACGTGTTTACTCATTTCTTTAACATATCGAACTAATTTGACATAAATTAATATAATACTGCTCATTGGTATCATATAAAACCAAGTTACATTATAAATTGATATAAAAGAACGTTGAGATGGCATTTCACATATCTGATCGTCAACTAGATATATGACTCGATTGGTCAGTATATGTGGTAACGTAAATATTACGGCAGATGTCCATATTAAACTGATAAGAAAAATTGAAATCTTGCTGATTGCCAAAATAAACGAGCTGAGTAAACAACCGTTATATATCGATAGATTGCTTGTAAGAAATAAGAACAGTTTTGTATGTAACAAGTAATATAAATAATATAACCTCGAAAAACACAAAGTGAATCTTCATATTGCTGTCGTTTAAGATCATTATTTAATGTGAATATTGCCATCCAAAAAAGATTACTTGAGAATACAAGTTCAGCTAGACATGAATTAGCAACAAGCAGCATGGGAACTGTATGACATGTTTTGTCCCCAATAATAATAAATAAAAATATAAATGCAAATATAATCACCAAAGAATGACATATTAAATTAAAAACATCAAATGGAATAAACCATGATTGAAAATTATTCTCCATTATCATTCCTGTTGAAATACCCATAAAGGTATTTAAATCATTTCTGAAAAAATATATCATACACTTTTTAAATGAGTTCCATTAATGTTGTGTACCATTTTATATAATGCATACTTCCTTTTTCTATAATCTGAACTACTCTGCATGATTGAACTAATACATTCTTTTCATCAGTGAGATAAATGGAATTTTTTACCTAGTTTTGTTCTTATAACTCACACTAAAAAGTCTTTTTCTTTTCTATAAAGCTTATACTGTCTTTTCAACAGTTATGAATTAACTATTGCTTATAAACAAGATATTTGCTATCAAGGTCATCCTCGATAATTTCATTATTACTTCTATGTATATCATGCGATATTCTTTTAATAGCCTTCTCATTATTCAAAGTATAACGTGATCTTATATAGTTGAAAGATTTTTCTTTTTCCCTCGTTCTTGTTATATAAGTCATTTTCTTAAAATATGCTGAAGTCGTTAGCTAATCATCGTCTATCAGTCATAAATCAACAAAATATTGATGTAGTTCATAATCTTATATTGTAATCACTTTAGACATAATGAAACTTCAAAATGTTTACTGTAAAAACACTACTAGCAAGACAAAGGTAGCGAAATTATTCATTAAAGTGATGTTTTATCATTTGACAAATTTGATAAATCTTTTTTTAATTTTGATATTTCAATCACTTTTAATCTGTACATGTCAAAAAATGACAGTTGCAACGATTGTGAATCTCGCATTTTATTTCTTGAATACAACTATCTTAAGTAAACTAATAGAATATTGTTTAACAAGCGGAGTGATCAACATGGGTATCTTCGAAAACAATGGTATTTTGGACTTTTTTCCTAAGATATACTTTTAAAATTCGAAACACTTTTTCTTATGCAACTCGACGAGCTCTATATAACTGTTATGGAAAGGGACAAAAAGACTCTTGTAAAATTCGAATATGTCTATCCAAGTTCATCATAAATACATCATATTTTAAATTTATTAGTTTGATAATATTTAAGAAAAACATCACAACATTCAATGTGTACACAAGTGCTTCCGTTCAATTTTGATTATTTATCTCAGTGCCTGTATCATCGTTGTTTGTCTTTTGATTATTCGATTTTTTACCCATGCTTTTAACGGTTCTGTACTGTGAAATATAATAACTATTATAAATACTAATGAGACATCTACAAAAATATATGCAATACGAAAATGATATTTTGGTGGTGAAGTGAAAAATCCCATAAGTACAAAAATAGTATAAGGAAAACCGAGTGTAACTAAAATCATGACAAGCATAACTATTCGATACACCATTTTTAATTCTCTTTGTGCCCGAATTAAAGTATTTGCCGGTGTAACATGTTAACTCATTTTTTTAACATATCGAACTAATTTAAAATAAATAAATATAATACAATTCATTGGTATTATGTAGAGAAAAAATGTATTATAAACTGCTAGAATAGAGAAATGTAACGGCATTTGACACATTTGATTATCAACAAGATATGTGATTGCATCAGTGAATATATGTGGAAAAGCAAATGTAAATGACACAATCCACATGAAGATAATAAGAAAAATTTGAACTCGTTTTGATTGCCAAAATAAACGAGTGGGATAAATAACTTTTAAATAACGATAGATTGCTTGTAGGAAATACGAATAATTCTGTGCACAACATGCCACATAACCGATATAACCACGGAAAATACAAAATGAATCTTCATATGATTGTCGTTTAAGATCATTTTGTAATGTAAATATCGCCGTCCAAAAAAGACTACTTGATAAAATAAGTTCAGCTGAACATGAATTAGCAATAAGTATCATGGGAACTGTATGAAATGTTTTATCGAATATGATAATAACTAAATATATTAATACAAGTATAATGACCGAAGAGAGACAGATAATATCAAGAATATCGATTGGAATCAACCATGATTCGATATTTGTTGATAATGAATTGTTGACAGACATTATAATTATTATCCTAAGAAATGAAAAGATCGTATTTTGTATTTTATTGAAGTTATTGTCTATTGATAATAGAAAGTGTTCACAAGACTTCTTTTTTTAGTATTTTTTAATGGATAAGCCATTGAGAAAAGGATTTGTCTATCAGTATTAGATGTTTCTTTAAATGACAAATCCTTTCATTTGTTATACTGAAGAATGAATCATAGCGACTAATGTTGTCCGATAAAATATTCCCTCGACTGTAAGAAGGATAATATGGAAAAAATAGTTTATCAGAAGAACATGCATCAATAAAATCCCGAAATACGTGCGTACACGTTTTCGTTCCTTGAATGGTATGATTTTGTTTAGTTATTCATAAGACTCGTGAAGGATTATTTAAGTCAGAGAATCAATAGAAAATTAATATCTGTATTAGCTAGGTTAGTATGTTAGTTGTCCTATTTTAGCTTGCAGATTGATATAATAGAGAAGATAATATAAGTTCAGATGTTGAATATGTATTTGATGAAAATGTGGGTGACCCTGATAACAAAAATAAGCAACCAGAAACTCGGGAAAACTTATTCATATAGCTGAGTGAGAGAATGAAAATGTTAGCGGCAACGACGTAACTTCTGATGACGCTAACAATTTGTAGAATAATGTAAATGTGAAACTTGTTAGAGTAGCATCGAAAACGAAAAATATTTTTTAGATGTATATTAAAGATCTTTTTGTTTTGATAAAAAGCACTTGACACAATGTAAGGCACTATAGAATATACTTCTGAAACTAAACTCTATTTTTACTGTATATAAAAACCATTTAGATAATTAAAACGTTATTTTTTTTGAATGATTAAAATTGAGCGATTATTTCTTCGCTCGATAAAAAAGAACTTGGAGACGTGAGCTTTATCACCCTGCTTTGTGACGTGTGTTCTCAGACAAAAATACATTAAAATTTTTTATAATTAATAAAATTCATCGAAGTTAACAGCCGATTAGAGTGATTCGTTTTGAAACCCACTCCAAGCGTGCACAGTCGTAAAAGATCGTTTACGGAAGAGAAAGGAGCTATACTGTGCGAAGGGATATATCTCTATCACATAAAAAGACTAGTTATATTGGCATTTAGTGTTGGACTTCTTTTTCTGTAATATCTCCTTACTCCTGTGTGAACACTGAGCGTTTTCGTTCTTTTTTCTTTCTCTTGAACTCAATAATTTTCTACACTCACACCCACTGTTGAGTCCGAAATTATTTTGACAAAAATTTAAATTTATCAAAAATTGTAAAAGTTTAGAACGTTTATAAATAGAATCGAAATTGGTAATTTGTCAAGCCTAGAAATGGAAAGCTGTCTAAATATATACTATAAATTCGTGATAATAGTACTTTTAAATTTGGTAAAATCATATTCCACCATGAGGATGTTATATACTCATACTGACACTTAAACTGATAAAGATAATTTAATCACTTTGGTTTATCAATCAGTTCAAAATTCGTAAACTGATCAGTTGCTTATACAATATTCGTTTATAGATAAGCTAGATTTCTAAATCGAGTAGATGTTTATAAATTGTTCATATATTTATAAATTACAGATACATTTATAACTGGATCGGCTTTATAAGTCTTTCAAGCGTTTATAAATTAAAAACAAATTTATAAACAAGTCCGATTTATAGATACCAAAGATATTCATAACTATTTTATATTTTCAGTTGAAAAATTTATAATTTTTAAATCAATATAAATAAATCGCTTACTTTCGAACTGAACAGTGCTCACATCCTCAAGTCATATTTTTGTTTTATTTCTTAACAAAAACAGATAAATCTTATTTTCACATATAATATCGTTAAATATATTTATAAACTCTACACAATTAAGTAGTACATATGATCCCGGTAATAATTGCATAAATTATTGTTAATTTCATGTTTCGTTCTGTGTTTTTGATGTTTTTTTTCTCTATCCACATGTTGTTCTGTTATGAATGACATCATTATATAAACTAATTTACCACGTGACGTCGGATGTGTGGTTTATCGGTTTTCTATCTGATTTACGTCATTATTTGTGTTCTTTTACTTTCTCATCATTTTTATTTATGTCGTAATATACACAATATATTACATGACATCGATTGGAAAATGTGTGATTCATCCGTTTTCCATCTGATTTTTGCGTCATTATTTCTTTTTTTTTATTCTCTCGTCATTCTTATTTTTATTTATCTCATAATACATATGGTATATTATCGCGTTCATACGGTTTTTTTTATTATGATCGAGTTACGTTGTTATTACAGGTAATACTATAAACTTTACTTTAACAATAAAGTTGTAACAGTACACTTCAACGTACAGTAAGTAGGTTTTTAACTTTAACTTTAAATAAAAGTAAGACGCAGGGTACTTTTAATTTTGACTTTTTAAAAAAGAAACTATTTTTTCAAATCAAAGTTAAAATATTGCTTGCTATCAGTAATTACGAAAGATTCTGTTGTAATTTCACGATGATAATGTAATTATTATTGGATTATAATTCGAGCATAACTCAATAAACGAATATTACTGTTTTCTTTTCTGATGAAACGTATGTATGAATCATTTGTTCGTTGAATTATTTTTATTTCACTCATTAATGATAAGGTGGTGTATGTTCTTGTTATTAGTTTTTAAATGATATTTTTAGTTAATCATTTCTATTCGTATATTTGTACTAATATAATTTTGTAAGTTTCATGTTATATCTTGATTTACGCACTATATGTTTATTTGCCTTGTTTCTCACCTGTTGCACCATAGGTTATATATTTTTATTTTATTTTTGTCTGTTCATGTGACTCGATTGGTTTTCATTGAGAGGAAGACAAAATATAAAAAAAAGAATTAACTTAATATCTAAGTGAGATAGTTTTCGTTTTCCTGCTTTCGATATTATTTTTATCCCATTGTAAAATTAATTAAAATGCTTAATACTGATCGCTATACTATGTAAAAAATATCAGTATAATTCATATACGATTTATCTTCTGAAATTGCTTAATATAAGATATTTGATACAATTTTTAGATAAATTCTATTCCAAAGTTTCTGTGTGATAATGTCAAAAATGACACAAATTTCTACTGATTGTGATGAGCGAATGGATCAAAATGTGGAAAGGATTACGACGGTGACAAATACAAGTGAACTACAAAAGTAATTAGCTAATTATTGTTAGATTCTTCTTGTTATTGTTCATTTATTTCTTTTAGTTCTTTATGGGTTGGAAAATTTTGTCGTCCTCCTTTCGGTTTTACGTTTGTACAATACATCGACTTTATTCTACTTCATATGGGGCGCGACTTTGTTCGTGAAGGTGTCCGTGCTATGATGGCACAAGTATCCTCAAGTATCGGCGAAAATATTACAGATTTTCAGATGGAACTCAATTATTTACAAGTTTTCGCCAATAAATACAATCTCCTTTTAAGTATTCTAATTTTCGATCAAGATAGAAAGGAAATAAAGACAATCAATGGTGCAACCGATTCACGGGAACAACCGAGATGTACCTTTATCGTTCTTGGTAAAGATCGTCGACACTATTTTCCACTATCCATAATGAATAAGAATAATCGGGAGTGTACACTCTTTGACAGAAATGATGATTATCTTTCTGCTCGATGGAAGGAATTCATTCAATGTTTCAATCAATCGGGTAAGTTGAACATTCAATCAATATTGTTTTTTATGAAACTTTTCTCTTTCTAATAGAATTCATGAATTCTGAACAAGTATCTATACTGGCAAGCAATAATATTGACAGTTCTGGTATGTAGTTTACAACTATTTTGTTCATGTTATCCTTATAATTCCTTGTTGTATTTTCCAGTTTTCAACACCGAAAAGACTATTGCCGACGGAATGGAAATGCAGGATCAAGTTGGTGAAATTGTCGCGGCACCAGAAAAACTGGCCATGCCAGTTGATTCGTCGATCGACAGCGACATGCTGCTTTCTGATTGTTCAAGTAAGACATAGTTTAAAGTCATCAGTTTTTTTTCTTTTCATTTGCTAATTCAAAGAAAGGTTTAAAAAGCAACTATGAAATATATAAATGGCTTGAATTAATCAATGATAATAAAAAAAAATGAGACTCCAGAATTCTACCTAAAACTAACTTCATATTCATTTTTAGTCTTTTAATGAAAATTGAAATCAATTATGTTGTAAGAAGTTCATTAGATTTCGTCAACTCAAGATCTACATTTCTATATAGAAAGATCCAGAAAACCGCAGACGAATAACTATCTCTCTTGAGGTGTCATTCAAAAAATACTTATCTGTCTTTTATTTTGAAACTGATATTAGTCTCGATCAATATCCATCCCGGTTCTAGTTAGTTTCAGGATTTAGGTAATTTCTTTTCCTTTACTAAGGATTTCTGCTCTCCTTCTCTTTACTGAACTTGATGTTTTTTATTTTCTAGATGATCCAATATTGCATACGAACACACCTAGAAAAACCGAAGAGATATATGAATTTTGTGTAAGAGACGTTGAAAAAGATGGTTCATGTTTGTTCAGGTCAGTTGGACTTGCCCTTGGTATGGAAGAAATATCGAATGATGATCTACGCAGTGCAGTAATCGGCCAAATTCATCAATCTAAGGAACTCAAAGACGCTATTCGTAATGCCAATCCTAATGTAACCTGTGATCAGTATTGTGATAGGATCAAAAAGTCAACTACTTGGGGAGATGAAATTGAAATTCGTGCTATGGCTTTACTCTATAAAAAAATAATTTGTGTGGTTGATGTTACTGACGATAGCGGTGATGTCTCTGCAGCATTTTACCCTTATGGTGTGGATCTTCCAAATATGACACAGTGTATTTACCTTCGTTACATTGGAAAAAGTCATTATGATCTTTTGTATCTCAAGAAGAAAGATGATACAAATTATAAAGAAACGATTTTCGGTCGTGAAGATACTGATATACAAGAGCTTCTACGTATTTACATTCAAGACGAAATCAAAGCTTCTAGTAAGCGACTGAAAACAAGAATCAAAATATTGAACTTCTTTTCTAGATTACGACATACTTCGATTGGACAATTGTACTAATGAATTAAACGAGCGACGATCAAATGTAAACTGTAAGAAATTAGAATTGAAAAAAATTCTCTGTTATTTTGCTCTTTGACAGGTACAACAAACAATTTAATTTTGTCAAATTCAATTCCAAGAAAGTCATTGAAACGCAAGCGTAAAGGTAGAAATATACTTGTATTCATTTGAAATTTCTTTCACAATTCATGTTTATTTTTTATGCAAAATTTTCGTCTATAAGTTGTAAAATACGAGAGAATATATTTTTATATATCTCTCAATACTATTTGATCTCACTTATTGAAAAAATTCAGAATTTTTTTTTCAATGAATATTTTTCTAACTTTTATCTTTATATTTAACAGAATCGAGAAAATCTTCAAATTCTACAAATAATAGTACTACAACGAACGTCGCTTATTATCGTGGCAATGCAACACCAATAGAGTTTAGATATAAAGCACCAAAAATAATTATAGGTCCACAAGAAAAACAACGCGGTCGTCAAATCAAAGAACTACTTTCAGCATGCTTACAAGGTGCTCAAGGTGAAAAACGCAGACACAAGCCTATGAAGTTGAATGTAGGATCTTTATTTGAAATACTTTTATTTATTTTCTGAATTTAGATTGATGAAATTCCAAAAGATGAAGAAGTTTATCTTGGCATTGAAGTTCTCACGCATGATAACAAACCTCATCCTTCTAAAATTATCCTTCCAATGGACACAGAGTTAGATATCCCTGATAATAAAGTCTTTTCAAAAAATACCGCCAACAAACTGGACTACATTAAATTCAATGACAAAAACTTGACATGTCACTTTGATCCGGACACAAAATGTATTTACTGGAAGGTTGATAAACCTGGTTCACTAGAGTAAATTCTAACATTTCTTAATATTCGTTTTTTAATAAACTTTTCTCATATTTTGCTTAGTATATCAATTCGTATGGTGAAATTATATCAAAGTGAAGATAATGGTATCAATAAGAACCTTATTCGAAAAAAAAAATTATATCTAAGCAAATTAGCTTTCTGGATGTGCAAGTTAGAAAATGGAGGTTATGTCGATATTTCTGCCACGACACTTTCTAATACTATACAAGAACGTAAGCTTTAACGATTAATTTCTAATTTATTTCATTGATATGTATTCACAAGAGCTATATCTAACAAAAAATAAGAATAGATTTGAATGTATCTGTTATTTTAGCATCGACTGATAATAAAATCGATGAAAAAAATGGCGAGTCTGTCACTAATGAAAAACAATTACATGAATCCATTAGCGATGAGCGTGAATCCTTCGAATCCAATACTGATCAATTTATCATACAGAAAAATATCCACACACTTAATGGTAGTAATTGGCTTAATGATGAAGTAAGTCATTAATTTTTAAACGATACTTCTTAAACTAAAACTCTATTTTAGATTATTAATTTCTATTTGGCTCTAGTGGCACGTGAAAGTGGACATGATGGATACCCACGTGTTTATGCATTTAACTCCTTTTTTTATGAGAAATTAAAAAACGATAAACCAGAGCATAGTAGTTGGTCAGGATATATGGACACGATTGATTTTTTCAATTATCATATCGTTTTGATTCCGATTCATCTTGAAAATCATTGGACTTTGGTTGTAAGGATCTTTAGTTTTGTTTCAACTCATTTCTCTTCATTTATATTCTTCTTTTCGTCTAGACAATCGATTTTTCATCTCATTGTATTAGTTATTACGATTCATTAGGTGGAAAAAACGACAAGTGTCTAGATTTAATCCATAATTTTGTTGAACATATGTACGCCATGAAGAAACTACAAGCCAGTTGGATAGTTGGATATTGGAAATCGGTACCACAACAGAAGAATACAAATGATTGTGGCGTGTTTATATGTCAATTTGCGAAGTATCTTGCTCGACAATGGCTGATTAATCTTACTCAAGAAGATATGCCTCGATTTCGACAACAAATGATTAACGAAATCAAATCGAATAAACTAATTGTTCAATCTCCTCCGTTAACAATTATGCCTATCTCTTGTTCAATGTAAATTGTGTTTTTTTTCTTAGAATGATAAGATCGAGAATTTACTTTTGATTGTCCATTCTTTGTCATTTATGTATACTGTTTATTGATTAGATACACTCTTCAAACCGGTTTTATGTCTTTATAGTGTTATTATTGTTTATTATTTTAAAAAAAAGTAAATTTAGTGGCATATCAAATAAGAAATATATTTGTTTTCTGACTCTGAAACTTCTCTTCAATCTGAATTATTAATATTAATTGTATCACTCAACGTTATTTTATTTTCATGGATAAAAATCTAGTCGAATCATTTTTTTTCATTTGAAAGATCTGAAATCGATCGATTGTAATTTAACAAAGGGTGCCGGTGTGCATGTTAAATCGATTGTTGGCACCTTACACGCTCAAGATGATATTAATATTTAGTAATTGTAATATTCTTATAGTTTTTTTGTAAATTACAAAGAGAATTTGGGTGTGGGTGTGAGTGTGAGTGGACGTGAAGAGTGTATAGTAAACTATATCCACACCCTATTTTTTTTGTGACCGAAGAAATGAATCGCTCTTTGTCTTATTGAAACTATTCTCCTTACATAATTCGATCATCATAAAATGTGATAAGTACAACTTCGGTTAGAAAAAATGAATGATAATAGAGTTAAATCTAATTAAATCGAATCTTTTATTAGTTCTTTCCAAAAGACAAATGAATAATAAAAAATTAAGTAATCCAATAAAATATTTAATGAAGCCAAGCATTTTGCTTACATTATTGTTCCTCGATCATATGCGTTCTAAAATAAAAACAAAAAAGTAATAACTGTGAAATCTAAATATAGGATAGCCGAGAATCATGAAGGGCATATTATAAATGATTATATGTACATGAAATATATTCGATAATCGTGATGAAAGATCAACACAGGCAAATTCCAGTTTTCAATTATATGCAAAATGAAAAAACAATTGCAAACAGGATCTAAACATTCATGGACTCTTGTATTCAATTTTATTCTGCATCATCTGTTGTCGTCTTTTTTTGCTCTATATTCTCCTCTTTTTGATCTTTAGAATGTTTATCATTATTTGCAAATATGTTTAAAATATCAATTAATCAAAATTCAGAACGTATGATTTTTTTCTATGTATCTTCGTAGTATTTTAAATACCACTTACATGTCAATTGTCCTGGTTTCCTATCTGGCTCAAGATCAAGTGCAATTTTCCCGTCACCTTTTGCAACATTCAACCAACGGTCAACTGGAAATCTATATTTAAAAATTATCAAACTCATTTCATTCAATTTTCAATATTATTTACGTGTAGACTTCATTCCGTGAAACATGATGAACTTCAACTGAATCAGCATGCCAACCATCTCCGATACCGCATCCATCATGTTCAATTCGAACTGTTTTAATCTGAAATATATAGATGATCATTATCTTTTTCTTGAGCTTCGTTCAATCTTACCTTTCCAACATCAGCTGCATAAATTTTAAAACGATTAGTTGCACCAGATTCAAATAAGTTTTTAGTACGATCTATAGATTCTTTTAATTGACGTCGTTCAACTTTACTTTTATCACCAAAGATACTTAAAAACACATTGGCATCTATTTAGTATCACAACAATAAAATTTCTATTGCTTAAAGACAAATATAAAATAAATTTACCAGTTCCAGCTCCACGTTTCTTTGATGTTTCGACAGTGATTTCATACTCAACAGTGTTCGAATTTTTCGAATCGTCTAAATGTTTGAAAGAATATTAATCAAATAGCTTAACAAGAAGGGTGTGAGTGTGGAACAAATACCATATCCTCATACCCACCCATCACTATTTTTGTAGATAAATTTACTTTTTAATTAAAAAAACTTGAAAAAAAACTTCGTTCAAACTTATTTTTTCGTTGCTCAAAATGAAATAATTCAATAAACATACCTGATGATGAAATAACTGAAATTTTCTTAATAAATTCTTGCGAATCTAGTCGAATACACATATTTGATGGTTCAATGAATTCTCTTGTAATTTGTGTTAGTTTTAGTTTAAAATGATTTAAATCAATTTCATTAAACTCATTTTCTTCACGAATTTTTCTTAACTTCTCAGATAATTCAATAAACTTTTTCTCAATATAACTGATCGATTTTTGTGTCAATTTCGTCACTATTTCTCGACATTGGTATGCGGTTTGCCGAATTTTCTCAATTGAATTTGTTTCCCATTGATTAATTTGTTGAATTAAAGGCGAACTTAATGGATTTTGCTTTTGTTGAGTAATTGTTTGTCGAAATTGATCATGATCATTGATAATTTCATCTAATTGTTTGTCAAGAATTTGTCGATGTTCTGTTAAATGTTGGAAACAAAAATCTTTTGAACATCCTGAGCAAAGACATGTTGCATTTGTTTTGTTACAAATAGAGCATTTTGGTCTTATATTTGCTGTTGCCATTTGTTGAAAAATTTCGAAAAGAAATGAATGCTTGTTTTCATTGTGTTTTTATTTGTACAAAAGAAAATGACTCAAACTCAATAACGATATGTTGGCAGAAAAAGAATAAAGAAAAGCTTTTTTTAATAGATAAGAGATTTTCATCATGAAAACAATTTAATATCCATTGATATTAAATTGAAACTAAGTCTCCTTGAAGAAGATGAACTATGATAATTTCATTGATTTTTCTATTTTTAGATGGAAGAAAATCCAAATAATCTTTTTATTTTTATTTTATAAAAGAAGTTTTTCTTTATGAAAAGTTGAATAGATGTCATTCATCGTTAAATTCTTTTTACTTCACTGAGCAACTTAATATTTTTAGAAATGATCATTAACGTTTTTCTACCAAGACTTTGAATTTCTCTCGTCAATAGATGAATTTAAACTAACTATTAATCTAAAATCAATTAATTTGGAGTTCCTCGAAAATTTTTATCAGACTTGATTATTTCTTTTCTCTTTTATAACTAAGAACGAATGTTAATATCGTTATCAACATTTCAAAATTTTTGTCATTACAGGAAATAATTATAGAAGATCATTTCAGAGAATAAAAAAAGCAAAGAATCACTTATACTTGAAATGATTTTGTTGTTGTTCAGCGATTTTCTACAATACGTTCAAGTACAACTGTGTGTGTGTCTGTGGATTAATCTTTTCTCTACTCTCGATCATACCCTCAAGAAATTAACAAATTTTAATTCGTTTCATCTTCATCCAGTAAATATCAGTTTCAATAAAAAATCTTAGAATATATTTCATACGATCCGCATAATGTGCTTTTCTGCTCACATCTTTTTCCATTAGAATGATAGATACATTTTGTACTATTGAATATAAACTTTTATCACAACACATGCAACTTTACCAATCGAGTAATTCGCAGGACGAGTGACTATAATTGTTTGCCAATTGACATTATGTGAAATAGATTTCATTTGAAAATAATCACCCGCTACACTGAAAATAGAATTGCCAATAAGTGCAACATTATCTTCAAGTTTTTCAGCTTGTATTGCTTTATGAATTCGAAACCTACAACATACCTCTCGAAAGAAGTTACGAATATAGTATATCATCCAACATCAATAAACTTCATTTACGAATATCGTTTCAGACATTGGAATAGCTATTCCAAATATTTTCCTTCTCAAACTTGATCTTTCTTAATCTGATTGACTCACTGCATCTTTTCGCTTATTAAGATAATTTGTTATTTGAACTGTATCAAGGACATGTTATGTTTTAATACAAGTATAGAATAATTTCCTTTTCTAAAAGAAAGCTTTAGTTGTTCGGATATAATCTTCTTTTTCTTTATTACTACACTCGCTCGAAATTAAAAAAATTAATCTGAGAGCTTTTTTTGTTGTTTTTGTTTTTATTTGTTAATTAGCGTCTCTCAGGTTATAACCTGACCCAATCAAAATTATAATAAAAATTGTTTTTTTTAGAAACATTATGTAAACTATATCCCAAAGTGCTGAAACCATTCCTACTGGTAAGTTAACAAAGATAATGTAAATTAAAGTATGGGTCGAAGGGACCATATGTCTGAACGATAAGAATAAACTATTGCAGATTACGACAATACTAGGTCATATACTTCTATTTTGTTGCTGTTGATATTATGGTTATTTATACTATGTATTTACGCTACTTTAGCTAAAACTCAAGATCGTAAGTTTACTTAGCTATCTACAGTAGCGATTTTTAGGTTTCTCTCCACTATAATAATCTTCACGATTATTAAATCGTTTGAAACAGAAATTGGTTTTATAGTGCAGATGGCTGTATTCGAAAAACACTCATTCCCGAGTTTGAGTGAGGATGGGTGTCATTAAAGATTTTAACCAACTTACACCCACACTCACCCACTCACACTCACACCCATCCACTCACACTCACACTCACGCTCATCCTCCCACTTGCACTCATACCCGCCACACAGACCCTCACCCATCCACTCATATTCAGGCTCACCCATATCGTCACCCACCCACCCACTCATACACACACCCACATTCACACGCATACGCTCAGCTCATCATATCATTATTACTCTCGAAGTGAAAAAGAGACGGGGACAACTTGCATCGTTATCATATTCCAAGGCTAAACAAGTATTTGTCTTTTTATCGTTGATAAGGTAGAAGAATCCTTTAGTAGAATATTATTGTGTATTCAAGGTGATAAACTAATTGTATGTGGGTTTTTTCCTAAAGATAAGGGACTCGCGGAAAGTGTCAGGACAATATTTAGATGGGAAGACGGCCAGTTGCTCGCAGGATAGTTGCTCGTGGGAGGGTGTGGGTGTGGGTGGGTGGGTGTGGATGTTGGAATGTACCAGCTAAAGTTCACGCCTACATCTACATTCTCAAGATGGTTAAAACATTTTTTGTTGACAAATAGCTCCTCATATGATTATTATTTTCGAAGTGAAAAGAGGCAGGGACAACTTATATTGTTATCATGTTCCAATAGTAAACAAGTATCTGTCTTTTTTCATTGATAAGGTAGAAGAATCTTTCGGTAGAATATTATTACGTATTCAATGTGATAAACTATTTTTAAGTTGTTTTTTCCAAGGATAAAGGATTCGCGGGTGTAAGTGCAGGTGTGGGTGTGAGTCAGAGATTGAAGCGTTGTCTTTAAAACCAATACATGTCGATCCACACTCACCATCTTGAAGGTGTGGGTGTGGATGTGAGATGGGTGTGGGTGTGAGTGTGGTTGTGGGGTGAGGATGAGGGTCTGAATGTGGGTGGATGAAGGAAGGTGTGGGTATGGGTGAAGATGTGGGTGAGGATGAGGGTGGGTGAGGGCTTGGATGTGGATAGGTGTGGGTGAGGGTTAAGATGAGGGTGTGGATGTCTAACCTTTTCTCTTGAAATATATACAGTCGTAGACAAGCAAAATAAAGATCTTTTCTATCTTTCTCCTTTATCTTATAAGTCAAACTCACTCTTGCATCCTCAACCGACATATAACAGTTATGGTAGCTGTACTCACACCTTCACTCTCGAGTTTTCTAACCGATTTAATTTGATCCTTGTGATTTTCTAATCATATATAAAAGGTTTAAGCCATATACTATATCTTGATAGTATAGATGAAATACGTTATTGTAGCTAATAATTCTACCATCACCCTCAGGATAGTATGTAAATGAAAAACAGTACAAATAATGATAGCCATTTGCTGAGAGAACATATTCAGGAGCAAAAGCAAGAGCATGAAGCAGCTTTAATTTTCTTGTTATTTCCGTGTTTGTGAAGGAGAGTGCGTGAATTCGATTCATTTGTGCTACTTGCCGGAGAGTTGTTTAAGGTTGTGCGTATTTCATTTGGCATCGAACTGACATAACGAATCAATTTGTTATCACCCCGCATCCAGAATGTATATGGCTGATTGGAATCATCACCGTGATAGATACCATTATATTGTGCCGCGTTGATAAATAATATGTTATCATTTGCAGCAGCTCCATGCGAATAATGAACGTGACCGAATATGACCGCTTTCAGAAATGGTTTTTGTTGAATTGCTTTGAGTAAATCATTGCACCCAACATTTTCCCCTAATTGAATCGAAGATAGAAAGTTCTTTTAAAAAAATTAATAGTTTTATATATATAAAATCATTCGAAAAGATAAAAGCATTTCATCGACATAGTAAGTTTAGACTTATCTTTGGTTTTCCTACACAGATACTTATTATTTTGCTGAAAAGAATACTTTTGCTAGTAAATAAGTGTTTGCCTTTGACTGTCCACAGGAAGAAAGGAATAAGCAATCTCCGAAGGATCGTTTTTCAAAATGTCTATTCTTCATTTCGTTTTTCGATGTATGAAGCTTTTCGTCTTCACCATACTGTCGTGCATAATTGAGCTTTGATCAACATAGATAGCATTATTTTATAGGTGGTATTTACGCCTGTTCATATATGATAGATATTCATTGCTCGCTATAGAAGATTCTATAAGTAAGAAGCCCACTCAGCTGCCAATGTTTCGATCTCCTACCTCTAGAGCTTGTGTCGAGAATACCATAGGGTGGTCCATGCGAAACCAGAATGTCACAATTTTCTGGGATCATATCCCATAAGTTCTTTGCTTCCTCGGACGATCGATCATATTGGAACCCACCAAAAAACCGTGGTGTATATGGACAGCCATATATATTAATGCCAAGCACGTTGCATGAATTATTCTCTAGATATATCACGTTATCATCGCTCAAAGATCTCGCCTGACTAATCTGTACTGTGCCGTCGTGTTTGAGTTTGTCCAAGCCGATACCATCCATATTACCGGAAATGAAGACCTTGTATGTGAAGTTGTCTAGTGACTTTAGCCATTTAACTATACTCCTTACTTCTTTGTCCGTTCCCTGCTCACCGAAATCACCGGCATGGATTAAGATGTCACCACGCATTTGCCTGATTTTTTTATTGAATTCGTCATTCTTGTGTCCATTGTGCGTGTCGGAAATGCACACAATTTTAATCAAGCTATCTTCGGGTCTGATTGTTTCTGCGCACGAATTGTCATTAGCCGCATCATGATAATGATATGAATTGCTGCCTCCGGATACACTATCATACTCGATTTCCGACTGCGGAGTGACTGCTGCATCTGAAAAAGCATTTGAAGAAGCACTGCTCATATTATAAACAGTACCGCCATTTTTTGGCACTGATATGGATTTTTGTCCATGACTACGTCGTGGCATTGCAAATTTGACTGCGATTTAATTTCAATAATGATTCAATAGTCAGGTGTTGATAGAAGAAACCATGAAAATTAATAATTATCTGAAAAGAGGTTGTTGAGAAAAATAATCAGAGTTTGACGGAATAAATGCACGTACTATCAGAAACAAACCAGAGAAAATAGTGAAGATGCTACAAAGCGCAGTTCTCTCTTAGTCAGCACATTCTCATTTCGACGTTGA